AGAAATCTGCAAAGAATGGCAAACCTAAACTTTAAACTACCAAAAACCTAAACTTTAATTTACCAAAAATTTATTCCACGTTCCTAACCAAATCAAACTTTTGATATTCCTTCGTAAATGCTTGCATTAAATGGAAGTTCTCTTTAAATACCATTTAAATTCTTAAATTTTTTTATTCTATAAATGAATAATAATTATGTTTATTATATACCCTCGTACAGATAACAATAATAAATTGTATCATAGTTTAATATATTTTTTTTCTTATTTTGCATATCTGCCCAATCCATCTCTGAACCTGGCGGTGGATACTCTCTAATTAAACATATGTCCTATTTATTTAAAGGCTTAATTTTGATACAAAAAACCTGTTAAAGTCATAGCAATTAGTTTCTTTTTCTATTTGAATTTTATTCGTTTTATATTCGAAAGTTATTCATATTTTAACGATTGCTATTCATTTTCCTTTTGATTTGTTATTCGAATTCTATTCGATTCATAGAATATTTTGATGACTGTTTGATCTAAGAAATAATAAAAAGAGAGGATGCACTTTGAATATTTATATGGCGTCTAAAAAGGCTGCCTTAAGGAAGCTTCAGTTATAAAACTGATATCTCCATATCTCTGGTATTATTAGTTAATTATTAATTAGTTAATTATTAATTAGTTAATTAGTTAATTATATAAACTTAATATAATAAACTTAATATATATAGCATATAAAATATGCTATATATAAATGTTTTAAAAATTATAGTATAATATAAATGTAATAATTCATGAGGGATATAGAATGAGAATACATAAACTGAGTATTGGTTACATCCCGATTGATGTTTGAAATTCTATATATATCATATATTTCTGAACTACTACTAGTTCGATTTCATAACATAATACATCAATAAAATTTAAATTTCTAACCTCTAAAACATCCTCGTAACGTTTTTCAATGTCACACCATGTATTTCATAGTATCAGTAGTCAACGTATATCCTTCTATTGTCCCTTTAATACAATATCTGTGTAAATCTTAATTTCGTATAAAAATCCTTTTTCTTTACTTTTATGCTTTATTATTTATGAACATTTCTAATAATATTATTATCGAATGCATTTCTATGGGGTGTAATTTTGAATAAAATCCTCACCAAGCCAAGTACGACTTCACACTCCGAATAAAAATTAAAAATGGACCAATGTGAATATGGCAAATGGAGCGATATGTTTGCAATGAGATTTTTTGCTTTGATTTCTAATAAAATTTAGTAGAAATGATAAAGGATAAAGGAAGATGTCGAAATGAACGAAACGAAACAAAATTACATTTTCCCTCAAAAATTGGGGAAAATTGCTTTGAAGCTGCCGTTAAGGAGAGGACGAAGGATAATATAAAACGTCTTACTTAACAGAAGCTGTCTGAATGTAAACTGAATTATGACAGGTCAAGGATTGCTTACCATGTCAATTGAGTGTATCCTTTCTTGCAACGATGCTCGTAAATGGATTTGTGTATGGGTACATCTTCTTATGGAAACAATTTCAACCCTCAAAAATAAGTTCCAATTTGCGTTCCTTGAAAACAGTAGAGCACAAGTGTTTATGAGTTCTTCGGAAAGATTTTTTACTGCGCTTTTAAATTGCTTATTTGTTTTGGTTTTTAAATTTTATGTTAAAAAGGGAAAATGCATTCTTTTTTACAATTTAATTTTTTTAAATTGTGCAAATATAAAAGACTTGTGATAAATATTTTTGAAAATTTTTAATGAATAATATTTTGATACTTAACGACTTCTAGACACTGATATCACTTTTAATTAATGGTGTAGTATTTTATATTTTTTTTTATGAAACTTTGATATTGAAGTACTTTTCAAGATTGAAGAATGATTCAAGTTAGCACAATGACTGGTCTCCTGTCACTACTAGTGAAATTGTTTATATTACATTTTATTCTTATGGGGATGCTATACAAAATTAAAGGACTATTCGAAATTCCAGAAACTGATTTAAGTCAGAGATTTAATACAATAATTTACTCTATCATTTATGAACCTGTTTGGCAAAAATTAATGTTTTGGGATTAGTCTACGATAAGATTATATGAGTTTCATAATGCATCAAGCATCCTTCTATGCAATGTTTAATAAGAGACTGGCTATCAAAAAGAACTGCTCTCGAAAAAACCCTAAACACAAAATATATCAAAAACAATTAATCCAAATAGTTTACAAATGTAAACACTTACTTACTTCCTAAAGTCCTCTTCTCCTTGTGGAGCATAGGGTCTCATTTCTGAGGCAAATATAAAAGCACATTCTATAGCGAGACGCTTGATTCAAGTACAGACGCCTGCTTTAATCGCACCTAGTCTGGTGAAGCAGACATTGAAAACGCTGTGGATTGCTTTTAGCTTCATTGCTATTTTAACACCTTACCGGCAATGTTGGCCCTACTAGAAGCTATACTACCGCCGGCATCGTTCGATTAATCATTGCAACTAGTAAGACCCATCACTAAGTCGGGATGACAATTCCCGAGGAGGATAAACGTATTTAGTCAATTATATATTCTTTAATTTAAAGGCTAGTATAAACTTGTGTATGGATTTTGACGTTGATTTTTTTTAGCAATTTTTCATGTTTTTTTGAAAAACTTTATTTATTTAAAAATTGTTTAATATTTTATTTAATTTTTAATAAATACTTTAAGATATATATCAAAGAATGTTCATTCTATAATGCACAGTTTTTCAACAATCTTCTTTTTACCGAACTTCTTAGTAATTTTTTGAACAAAAGCGTACAAATTTATTAAAGCCTGTAAGTAGAAAAAGAATAGAAAAAAGAATGGAGTGTTAGCCTTCGGTGAGCAGAACATTATGTCCATGATTAATCCCTTGTGTTGCTTAGTGAACCTTACTGAAGGAAAGAAGTGAACCTTCGAATGAAACCAAAATGTCAGCTATTAAGTACATCCTAATTTCGAACGAGGGTACGAACTTCCAATCTGGAACTCTCCTACTGACCGTAATTGAAGATGGACAGTCATAAAGAATATGATTGAAGGTCTTAAACGCTTTTGTTATTATCACTCTAGATTATAAGTAATAATGAGCAAATTTGTAAAGTAAGTCGATAGTTTATATTATAACAATTCCCTTTAATTCTAATTAGTGACTTGTCAAACAATCCTCGTATTAAAAAAAATCTGTTATTCTTTGTCAAATCTTCATTTGAATTAAATTAATAAATTAGATATTAACAAAATTAGCTCGCAACTTCTCTTAATTAGCATTTTTATAGTAGCTCACATAACAGCAAATGATTGAATTAATTTCTGTTTTACTCAAAGGATCCCTTCCACTTCGCGTATCCAGTTTTTTTCATTATCTCCAGCAAATGATAGGGAATAACGAATTAATATTACAAACTTTTGTGAGTGAATTAATTTAATGTCGATTTGCATGTAATTTTATAAAATGTTTACTTTTACGATAGATACTAACACTACTAGTTGTGCTCTCCCAGTAAAAAACGTGTCCTTGCAGTTTACCTTCAAAAAGTTTCCCTTCGTTTAATGTGCGTAGTTTCTGTATGTCTTGCGAATGTAATTAAATGAAGTATATTTTCACTTCTGAATTAATTCATTTCAAGTTAATTAAGCAAATGACAATTATCATTAAAGAGTGCATACGACAAATATATGAATTAAAAGCAACTGTTACATTTATAATAAAAAAGATAAAACTTTTGATATGAAATAGCATTGCTTTAGCTGCATTTAAAACATCCTCGCACAGATATGAAAGCTTTAATAAAAATTTTTTTGGAAAAGTATAGTTTATATTGCTCTACGACTGCTACCCATATGAAAAATATTTTCAACTGCAATTATACTTTTGTCAACTGCCACCATGATTACTTGAAGGATAGTGGAAACTTTTGTTAACAGTCTGCAGTTATCCTTTAGTGAAATTGCTGTTTAGGAGAGAATTTTCATTACCAATTCAGTACCAATGACCAACGACTGTATTGCAATATCATCTTTTGAAAAATCATTACTAAAAGTGACAACTCCTAGTAAGAAATGAATTTAAAGATAGTTCTCTATAGAACAAGTATCAACAGGTTGTATCCAAAATCAACTTTGTAATCGAATTCGTTATGTCCAAAGTCAAATGCTTAATAGTACACACAGTGGCATATGCAAATGAGGTTGTAAGATTGTTTAGGAATTTTAGATGTTCCTGAAAAGCAGGGTTTGTAACTGAACTATCTATCCAAACAAACTAAAAGCTAGAAGTTTAGAAAATATTTGGATTGACATATTTTGTAATATAAAATGATGTAAGGAATTTATTTCATTTTGAAGAATACCTTTGAATACCAACCTTTGAAAAGTATCTGAACTTTAAGATTTGAAAACACAAGTAAACCATATCAGGTCTTACCAGAACTTCTGAAATAAAAATTTAACGACTAAATTGACCAAGCACTGATTATACTTTACTTACCGAACAAGATCTCGTATAATTTCTTCGGTTTTCGAAAATACAGTTGAAGAAAATATTTCGAATAGATTTTGAAAATAAAATTAAAAACTTTACATATATCCGCCAATGAAAAATGTATAGAGAATTGGGTTAAAGGATCGGTCGAATCTATTTTAAAGGTAGCAGAATGAACATTAAACACTGGGTACTTTAAACACTGCATGTATTAAGTTAACTATCAAAGGTTAACATTCCATATTAATCATATTAATAATGAATAAGAACAGCAAAAACCAATAATGATATTTAATTAACTTAATATTTGAATACACTATTAGTCTCAAATTTTACTTTAGATACCATTGACCAACAGAACTATATTCCATATTAATTAGTGTATCTTATAGATATCGTTGCAATTTTTTACGATATATCTTTAAAAATACTCACTAAATAATTTATTGTATTAAAAAAATTTATTAAACATTTTAAATTTATTTTCTTTATTCATTTTCAATTTAACAAACTTTATTGTCAGATACTTTAGGAATGTTTCATTTACAAATACCTAACAAGATACCGATTGACAAATGAAATAAGCCTGAATATTGCAATTTTTGTCATCCCAGCCACTTGAACCAACTTGAAGACAGTAATCGGAACGGCTATTGGGTTGACCAGTTGCCCAGTTGGTATACGTAGCTGGATTACCACTACCAAACCATGACCAATAATCACCTTTGTCAGGATATTTGGTGGCTCCTATCCAGAATAATTCACTGGGACTCACTACTTCATTGTCACGGATCAAATTTCTTATTGCTTTAGCTTCAGCTGCAGATGTGATGGTTGCCAATGTTAATCCATTATATTTGCATATTCTCTGTGCAGTGAACCAATTTACCTAGAAATAATAAAATAATGTTTTTAGAAATATATTTTTAATTAGAAATTATTCTAATGTACCTTAGAAAAAGCGCCAATTGAATAAGACACTGCTGTTCTTGGACTTATGAAATAGCCCAAATTGCCACTGAATCCTCCTGACCAATTTCCTACATTATTAAATAGGTTTTGCAAACCCGTACTATTGTTTTGATTTCCATTTGAATTACTATTGCTGGATTGTTGATTTAAGTATGTTGTGGTATTAGAATTAGTTAATTGAGAACTGCCACTACCTGAATAATTAATGTTAGTTTGTGCAGTAACTACAGATAGTAGAACTACTAAGGCCAGGAAATAGGTTAAGAACTTCATCTTTCGGTAAGTAGCAAAACCAAACTCACTACGTTTCCATTGAACAACACTCCTTTATAAGAATATTCTTTTGTCGACATAAAATATATAACACCTCAATCAATCACTGTCAAAGATTTTAACGGTACTTTTGACGTTATTGTCTTTTGCAATTCGAGTGTTAGGAAAGCAGATAAAAATTGAATTTATTAAAATGTGTGATATATATTATAGTACAAATTGTTAAAATGAGAAAGTTGCAAAATTTTACTTAGTACTCTTTAGATTATATTTAATTCATGTATATATAATATATTTCACTTATCATATTTAAGCATTCCATTAGATAGAATAACTTTCTACTTGAAACTCAATTACACTCTCATCACGAGTCATATATGATATGTTAAAAATCCTTGTAAATAAATGGCGATCCACTATGTAAGTACATTCATATGTGCAGGCTTTTTAAATATGAACTCCGTTTACTTCATCAACGGTGACAAGACATTTAATTTCAATAGTTTTGAAAAGCAAAAAGGTCTTAGAAGAAAACAAACTGAAGATTAGAATAGAAAACTGGTCAACATTCCATGTCGCTGTCGTATATAATTCATTATTTTTTTGGAATTTTCTTAATCAAATTGTATTATTTATTTATATCTGAAATGATTTTCTTCAGTACCAAAGTAGTTAAATCAAAGAAAACTAAGAGTACCGCATTGGCTCTAGAACGCATTTGTTATAGTATTTTCAATTCCTAAAAATCTTTTGTTCCTGTTCCATTGATTTTTCATTTCTTTGGTGGTCAAAATCGAAAACACATATTTCGTCATCAATTAAAGGACATTCCATAAAAATAAAAACATGATTAAAACGCTTTAGTATATGCACAGAAAACCTCTCTGTGGCACTTCTTATGAAGATAATTTAGAAGTAAGCAGTAAGGTGATATGTCGCATGTCTGCAGTGTCCTCTAAAATTTTATAAGTATAAACTATAAAAACATAAAGTTAACTTTTTTAAGCTCGATATTTTTTATCGAATGTGAATCAACCTTAAAAAAGTTTACTTCATATAGCCCATTTCATTTTATTCATTTCATTTCATAAATTAATCAAATTTTATTTGTTGCTTCTTCATTATTGTTCGAACCCTTCTAAACTTTTTTAAGCTAGCATTGGTTTTATAAGGGAAGATCCTCATCACTTTTTCGGTGTTTATACAGGTTGAAGAGATAAAATCACGTCTAATACAAAACGGACCTTCGGAGAATTTATAATCCCTCATTGAATGCTTTGTACTATCCGTAAGCTTAAGATTTTGATTAAGGTTCTTAAAAGTACCTATTTTTTATTTAAATATGTTTTTTAATTTTTGATAATTTTTGTTACGTCGAAAATATTTTTCGTCATTTGTTTTTAACTGTCCAATCGCTTCTTTATTTGAGTAAAACCTCGCTTCCTCAGAGCATCATATTCAGATTTGAAAAGAGTTGGTTATCACTAGGGGATTAATCTGAAAATCTTCTACTATATGAAATGTTTCCAAATCACACAAATTACTAACTACGAGTGACAAGTTAATTAATAAAAATTTGAAAAGTGTACCTTATATCATCCTTATGGAGCTCTATTATTATAACTTGGTTCCAAATAAAGTTAAGCGTATATTTCGCGGTGAAGAAGGCATTTATTTTTTTTATCAATATTATCTTGTTTAACTGTGCAATGTAATAATTGCTTAGAAAATCTGAAATTATAAGGAAATACAATTTATGTACCTTTTAACATATTACAATGTATTAGGTTACCTAAGTTATTACTAGAAGAACTTATATAATATCTAGCCTTAAAAAAGTCAAAACTCGATGCAGTTCTTAAGTAATTTTAAATTTGTGTTTACAATTACAGGAATTTTAATTATAATTAAATATCAATTAATCATTGTCAGTCGTAAGAGTCGAAACAAACTCACTATATACTCTACTACCACCACACATACAATAACTTGGATTAATCTATTGGCTCCCACTTCTATATAAACCCAACATTTTTTGAAAATCTATACATTTTCGTTTAAAACTTTAAGGAAAAATGTTCAAACTTTTAGTTTTTGCTTTGACTTTATCGTCTTGCTTGGTATTTAGCTTGACCGCCGGTTTGCCGTCACCACCGGAAGTGGCGAATAAGACTTACACTGTCGTATTTACCAATAAAGTAAATATTAGGAGAACTCTGAAAGATTCTTAATATATTACAGTTTAAATATTATAGGTAAATTGGTACAAAGCAGAACAATTGTGTAATTTTAACAAGATGACTTTGGCCACCGTTGATTCTATTGAGGACAGCGACAATTTAAGTGATCTTCTCGACGATAAGGGTAAGAACTAAAAATATTTTTATAACTACTGAGTGTACCTAAAATAATTACATTATTTACTGCTTCACAGGTCTTACTTCGAGTACTTATCAATTTTGGCTCGGTGGAACTGATAATGCACTTACCGGTGATTGGTATTGGTTTGGCACTGGCGCTCCAGTCGTATATACTAGCCCGTGGTTAACAGGCAAGCCTGGCAATGCAAACAAAAATGATCATTGCATGTCCTTGCAGGATGGTGATTCTTGGACTGTAACTAATTGCGCCAAAGAATTATACTTTATATGCCAAAATCTATGTTAAATAATATAAAATATTTTGTGAAAATTTTTCACAAATGAAAATTGAATAAATTTTAAATGCATGAAATTATTTGGAAAATTTTAATTGATAGTTAAAATATATATGAGGTAGGAATAATAAACTGTAATTAAAATTTACTAACTTTAGTGCACAACCCGTGCACTAAAAAATCAAGAATAGCTAATCATATTAAAGTTAAAGTATATTAAAAAGGAATCATATTAGTTATCTACATAAAGAAAATACCACGTTTAAATAAATTTTTGGAAATATATTAAGGAAGTCAATGACATATATCTTAACTTATAAAAAAACTATTATAGGTTATAGAAAGTAAAGGTTTATCAGTCACAGAGATTTAGTTTGCAATTGCAAAATAAACTGGCCAGATAATGAGCTGAACTCATTTGAAGCATCTAAAAGATCTGAGCATACTGTTGACATCATGCAAACAGATATCTATGCATAAGTTGATCCCGTTTTATGAAGAAAAATTCTGACAATATCATGAATATGTCTGATAAGGATCTTGTGCTAGGATGGTTTATAAGCCATAGTGATTTAAGGAATCATATTAGTTAATTGGATCTCCAGTTTAATAATTTTTATTACAGTTTCGCCGAAGATGAATCAAATGTCTCACTTTTACCTTTCAAGAAAAGAATATTGCGAAAAATATTTGAAAAATTCAGCTTTCGAGAGAACAAGAAGAAGGTTTGGAATGAAATGTCTAAGACAAAAATATTAATATTTTTATTTCTAGCAAGTATCTTGGCAAAAAACTGGTCGCAAATTTGAGCTCAGGAAACCTAAAGTAACCTAAACCATTGAAAAAAAAAAAAATAATAGTTCAGTGTTGTACAGTGTAACTTTAAAATAATTCATAGAGATCTTTTAAGTGCTATGCAAATACGTCACACCAAAACCGAAAACCCAATAAACAAATAAAATCGTATTGCAATTGGTTCTATTTTTATTATAAGTCAGAATATATTAGTCAAAATTATTTCTTTCCTAAAACCTATAACTATGTCTATATGTCTATAAACATCTTCAGCTATAGTAGTTATTAGCTACATAAACTCATACTTAATCGAAATGCTCGTGTTGCTTATTAATTTCTAATTAAAAATGTTAAGAAAATTTTTGTTGTTGTTTCTTTATTACTATTCGAACCTGAATTAAAAATTTTTTTTCGTCTCAAGATCCCTTTGGATACTTATAGTTAATAATGTAATATAAACCAGTAACGATATAGTATGTCTAGAAAAGAATAGATAAGAACAGTGGCAAAGGGTTCAAGAACATTTGTTGTACCTCAATAACTTCCTACCCGAAAAAAGCTGTATGCTTGCGTTGTGAAGAATGGAGGGTCTGGAAGATTTTCTAATTTCCGACGAAAGTAACAATTTTTACCGAGTATCCTTATTTCGAGTAGAACATCTAGAATATCCTTAATCTACTTCAGGTAGATTAGATTATTATACTAAGCTTTAAGATAGACATGTGAAAGACAAATATTCATACCTTAATAACAGCAGCACTATAGCATTTCATAATCCATTTAAAAGCGAATTTCTCTTCAATTGATCGTTTCCTTTTATGTAATCTGAAACTGGTTTCCGTATATCATTACAAAGTAATATTTTAGATATACGAGGATTCTATATTAACTATAAAACTTAACCAATTGTATTAAGTACGACAAACTACAGAAATCACATATTAAACTATTTTCAGATATTTATGATTTAAAAGAAAATCATTTTTAATTTCAAATGCTCTTTAATTATTTTATTGATGTATTTTGAAACACATTATTTCAATATTTTTAATTTCAACATGTTGACGGTTGACATATGAAGTAAGCTTGGATGTTGCAATTTTTGTCATCCCAGCCACTTGAACCAACTTGAAGACAGTAATCGGAACGGCTATTGGGTTGACCAGTTGCCCAATTGGTATAAGTAGCTGGATTACCAGTACCAAACCATGACCAGTAATCACCATTATCAGGATATTTGGTAGCTCCAATCCAGAATAATTCACTAGGACTAACTATTTCACTGTCACGAATCAAACTTCTTATTTCTTTTGCTTCAGCTGCAGATGTAATACTTGCCAATGTTAATCCATTATATTTGCAAATTCTCTGTGCAGTGAACCAATTCACCTATAATAAAAACAGGTATTTAAAATTTCTAATAAATTAATATATTTTTTAACCCACCTTGGCAAAAGCCCCGAGTGAATAGGATGGTACTGATCGCGCATTAAAGCCATTCATCAAACTATAATTTGATCCGTTGTTTCCAGTTAGTGATCCGTTACTTTGAAAAAAAGATCCAGAGTTATTGTTGTTGCTTCCACCATTATGACTGTTGGTATTGTTTTCTTGTGTTTGTTGTGCTACAACAATATATAGAAAAGCAACTATATGCATCAAATATATTAAGAATTTCATCATCAGACAAATAACAAAGCCGAACTATTTTCTTTCAGAGCCCAAAGTTATATTTATACCCGTTTTTTGTTTAAAGAATTGTTAAAATTTGTCCATCAATCATTGTGAAAGACAATTTGACACAGCGATGTTTTAAAACTGAGTATTTTTAAATTAGTAAATATATATAACAATATTGAATATTATATCAAATACGTTATGAAATGCAATGAAACATTGTATTGAAAAAAGTCAAATCAGCAAATTGAATTTTAATGATTTTATTGAATGGTATTAAAAATACATTTATCAGTGTCAATATAGACTTTTTATATAATATTAAAATAAGAAGAGTTAGGCTAAATAAAATTATCTAACCATAATTCAAAGACAACTTTATGATATGCATATTCGGAGAGTCAAGATCGGTCTTCAGAACCAGAACAACATGGAAAGGGTTAGTTTTATGTTACTTATTTTTATAAAATATTGTTCGATACACACTATATACCATTTAATATAGAGCGAGTTAAAAATTCACGACACTGAAGATCTGATCGACAATAACATTAATACTTGAAGAATTTAATACGTTGTCCTTAAATATAAGTTCTTCAACTATGACCGCACCTGAAAAGTAGAGTAGGGGACAAGAAACAAATTAAGAAAATAAAACAAAAAAGACTTTTTCGATGAAATAATTACTAAAGTTTTGTTTAACATTATATCATTATTATTTAATCATATTTTTACGAAGTCAGGTCGTTATATCAAAATCAGAAATCTGTTTTACTGCATAAAACATACATATGTTACGCTCATACCTCCGCTATGGACAAATTCCATTTAAAGGAACTTTAAATTCCATTCACCTCATGGGCCCTATTTTAATTATGGAAATATACTTTTATGTAGCCATTGCTCAATAAGCCTTTCTTGGTTACTCCGATCTTTATATATATTATCAATAAAGTCAACAGTAATAATTTAGTAATTTTATTTATGTGATGTCTTTAACGTCCTGCCCGATTTCAAAGAGTCTTTGATTTGGTTAGATTTGTTAGTTCCTAAATGATTTGCAAATGCATATACACACAGCCATAGAGATATCTCTCATTCAATTTGTATTTTCATGTTGATCAAAAAATTATATATTTAGGTCCTATATATGTCAATCACATTATGTGGGGGAAGCGTGTAATAATTTTAATCTTTAACTAAATAAAAACCATAAAAACCATAAACCATAACCATGCATACAAGGTGAGATGAAAAAACTGCAACAAAGTAAAACGCCATAATTTTTTCATTTTTTTTAAATTTTATTGAATGAAAGCAAAAAATGTCGGAAATAACATCAAATTTGAGAATCGGTTTAGAATTGATCGAATTGGCCACCTTTGGCACGAACTATGGCCTTCAAACGGCCAATGAAACCATCACACGCTGCCCGAAAGTGGCTCTGCGGTATTTTGTCCCATTCTCGGCGAAGCGCTTGCTTGAGATGATCGACACTTTGGTATTTTTTAGTGCCAACCTTGCTTTCCAAAATACCCCAGGCACAATAGTCCAACAGATTGGCATCCGGAGATTTTGGTGGCCATTGTGCGGTGGAAATGAAGCGAGGAACCTCATTTCTTAACCATTCTTGGGTGGCGCGTGCTGAGTGCGATAGTGCTGAGTCCTGTTGGAATGTCCAAGGTCTGCGGCCGAAATGTTTGCGTGCCCAGGGCTTCAGAACTCCCTCCAAAATATTTTCGCGATAGATTTGCGCATTGATTTTGACCCCACGGTCGATGAATACGAGCGGCGAGCGACCATCGGCTGTTATGGCGGCCCACACCATCACCATGGCCGGCTTTTGAGTTGTGGTGGCCAACAGAAGTTGCAAATTTTCAGCTGACCTCTCTGGCAAGTAAACACGATCATTT